CTGGCCCGGGTTAAACAGCCGGCTGCAGCTGGCCCGGGTTAAACAGCTGGCTGCAGCTGGCCCGGGTTAAACTGCAGCATAAGGCGGCAGGCGGTTTGCCTCACTCGCTCTAATTTTCTCCAGCACGATATTTGAACTCGATGCTTTTTTTACTCTTAATATCTGATTCTGCAATACAAAGTGAGGAATACAGATTACATCTTGGTTGTGGAAACTTAATGAATTGCACGGTATACTGATCAATCAGCGTGTTCACAAAATTAAGGAGTGTTTTTTTCTGAACCAGCCTGCAAAATCTCTTAAAAAATATCTTCAGTGATCAAAGTGCCCTTCTTGTTGACTCGGAATCCAGAAATGAACCATCTAAATGACCCAAACAGATCTACAAGCACTGCATGTCTGTAAAAGGTGCCTTCCAGGGAAACCTGGGTGAGCTTTCACCTCAGGGCCACCAAATGGAGAACATGTAGAAGATTCCTTTTAACTTTTCCTTCCAAAGGTTATTGGTGATTAACTACGTGTGCTGACTTCAAAGAAGACAAATACCTGCCGGGTTGAGAAAGAGACCCCATATGGGAGTTGATTTCCCTCATGCACTGTCTGATAGGCACGGCTGATTTAAAATAAAAATAAAAGCATAGAGCAAAAAAAGTGACCTGTAGGTGTTCAAGACCTCTGTACTGGCCAGCCTTCTTGAAAAACACTGATATTTCATAATTTATCATTTTCATATGTTCTTTTATGTCTCAATTTAAGTTCAGGTTCTGCTAGTCCCTACGAAAAGCCAGTGTCCTCTTGTTTGGTACTGTCATTGCTTGGAGAAATAGTTCTTGCATTCTGCATCCAACAAAGGCAATAACAGCTTTGAAAAGTTACTGAGAATGTTCACTTTGTGGAGCCATTGAGCAACATTTGAACAGAACGTACAGAGGCACAGTGGCAGAAACTGGCAAAAATACCCTGTCTGAGCCTCAGTGGTTAAAATACTGTTTTCTCTATCACAGAGGTTTTTGATATCTTCTAACATCTCCTCGGTGTTGGTAACCTTAGATTTGGACTGCGTATTTGATGAAAAGTGGTGCACTTAAATGGGTCTAATCTTATCTGTGTGAGAAGCGTTGTATGCAACAGTTCTGACCTCTAATGGTCAGAAAGAGCGGTATTCTCTGAGGCATTTTTTTGCAAAGATTGTGATATGCTAGAGTTTGTCACAGCTGTGAGAATGATACTGAAAAGGTGTAACAAACCTGGTCCACCTTTATTTTCTACACTAGTGAGTTTGTCTCTCCACCTCAAATCGCAGGGAAGATTGTTTTTAATGGTGCTTCTAAGTTACATAGAGAAAAAGAACATAATGTAATTTTTAAACATTCTTATATTTAAAGTCTTTAGAGAGTGTAGATCACCTGTGAATTCCTTTAAAAACTTGATGAAGGAGGAGCTTGACAAGGAAGGAACAGAGATTGTAGAAGCTATAGCAAAGCGTAATTACATTCCACGTTGGTTCAGGAACTCCTGTGTTTGTAATTACTCTGTCATTTGTTTTAACTACACAGAAACACAAAATGTTAAGTTTACTGTCTGGAGGTGAAGAGAGGGAGTAATTTTTGAGGTAAGAAGTAATCTTTTGGGGTGAGACTGAGAATGCTGTCTTTCTTATTGCAGGCAAAACGAGCAGTACAGCGAGGAGCCACAGCGGTCATCTTTGATGTTTCTGAAAACCCAGATGCCATTGATCAGGTATGAAGAAGGGAGCCTAGTTTTATTACAGCCTTTGCTGGATTCTTTTAGGGTTGTTGAGGCAAGACTTTAGAGCATACAGCTTTCGGAGCACACCTACCTTAAGAGAGGCAGCTACTGACCCTGGGTAACATGGTGCTGGGGTTTTCCTGCTTATCATCCGGCAGGCAAGAAGCAGTGGAGGTGCTGAGAACGTGGTAGAAATGGAAAAGTTTCGGGAGTTACATTTTTCTTCTTGGCTTTGACAATCCAAAATCCATGTCTGGGATTAAGGTTTTCAGAAAGGATGGAGACAAATTTTTTGTGGCCTGTTATCTAAGGAATCTTTTTTTGCCCAGCTCTGTGTATAAAACATGGGCGTTTGACCCTGACCAGCTTGTGATTGATACTATCGTTGAGCAGCAGCTGGTTTTGAGGTTTCAAAATGGCTTTCAAACCTGGTTCTAAACAAGATTCTTACAAAACTTACAAACATTTCTTTCTTGTTTGCAGCCTACATTTCTCTAAGCCTACATATTTCGTGGACAAGCAGGGTTTTTCTTTTTTTGGGACCTCAGTACAACTTCCATCTTTTTGTTTGAAGTGAGTGAGGTAATAGCTCTGTGAAATGCTTTGAGAAGATCCTTCCAGCCAATTCTGAGTTACTTGAGTAGAGAGAAGAAACATAACAAGCACAAAAATAGTCTGTATTTGTTTTAGTTTCATTTTGTCTTGAAACAAAACTGCTGGTTTTGTAAACCATCAATGTTTACATTTAAAAAGCTGGCTTTAATTCCGAAGCGAGCATCTGTTGGACAAAGGAATGCAGACTCTGCAGTGGATGGTTTGAAAACTGTGCTATGCATGTGCATCAAGGCTACAGCCTTGACCTTGCAAACATTCTCAGGGATATTTTCTCCCCTTTTATATGCAGAAAAATCATCTGCACAAAGATGTAATCTGTCCTTTTCCAATTTTTTTCACTGTATTACAGCTTCCAGTTACTTTCAGCCACCCTGCTCTGAACTTGTGAAGCTGAGTTGCTGCCTCTTGCTCTCTTCCCTCTACCAGCAACAGCTGTCCTTCCTTGATTCTCAATAATAAACTGGGTGCAACTGCCCCCATAACTGGGAAACTAGTCTAGTGGATGATTGAATATTTTGGGTGTACCAATAAGATGGAAGGAGGTTGGTGGCTTAGTGCAATAGCTGACAAAGTAGGCTCTGTTAGAGGACAGAGCAGCAGCCTGTGCAAACACGAACAGAAGAGGAATGACTAGACGTAGTTTTTGTACTCTTAAGCCTAAGAGTTACTTGGTTGGCTCCATGCTCATGCTGTTTCATGTATTTTGATTCTCAGCCAAAGTCTTCAGAACCCTTGACATCAGGGAATACTAATTAATTTGTCTTTAAAACAAATACCATTTTGACACTCGCAATGAAAATACAGAAAACAATGACATGGATAACAATGGAGGAAAAATGATGCGAGTTAATCTGGCGTATCTTTGATTCAAATGGAAGTATCTTAAGACACTGAGGGGAGCTGTTCAGGAAACTTTGCCAGGAATGCTTGTTACCAAGCAATAGAACAACTAAGGGAGAGTGCTTTGAAAGTGAGGGTTGGAGTATCATGAAAGGTGATTCTTCCTGCCAGTCAATGAACTGAAGTAGGAAGCAGGCCTGACCAGGAGAAGAATTGTCCTTGACCAACTTGGTAGCAGAATTGCTAGTGGTTGCTAGAACCCAAATAACTGTTTGAATGAGTTCGCTGAGTTAAACAGCAGAAATTACAAATTTTAATAAATTGACTAGGTACAAAGAGCCTGAAATACAGGACTCTGACATGAGATTGTTCAGAAGACAATAATGTAACTACAAAGTTGAGATAACAAAAGGTTCAGAAAATGTAGCAAGGGCAATTTTTTTTTTTTGAATGTGCAGATTTTTATTCCTCATTATGAGGTTTAACTTATAACAGTATTAATATATGCACTGGCACGCAATGTGGTTAAGTTGATGCTGCTGTTGAGAAGTAACATTTGCTTATCTTTAATCCTAGTAAAAAAAAAGCAGCTTAAGTCAAAAGTTTGATTCAGGTTTAACTCTGTGGAATACTTAAGTGAAGGTCTATGCTAGAAGAGAACAATTGGTGCTTGAATCACTTTCACATTTATATTCCTTCACTCTTCTCTCTGTTGTCCAAAAGAGAGGTATTTTTCCTAAAATGTGCCTTTCGAGTAGATTTTTTTTTGTTGTTCTAGCTGAACCAGGGCTCAGAGGACCCTCTGAAGAGACCAGTGGTGTATGTGAAGGGTGCTGATGCTGTCAAGCTAATGAACATAGTTAACAAGCAGAAAGTGGCACGAGCAAGGATTCAGCATCGCCCCCCACGGGTGAGACTTTAAGAAACTTTGTCTAGGTATTACACTGCTGTTACTTCATGCCGTGCTTACTAACTGCACTGAGTGTGAAGATGTTTTGATGCTCTCCATGAGCACTAATACATGTGAAATTCTGTTGACCTAAATAAATTGAGCAACTGCACTGTGGACAAGCAGCTACACTTGATGTAAGTATAGAATCCACAATGTGGCATCTGCTGTCTTTCATAAGGATTCTTTTGAATATGTAAATAGCTAAAAATTTTATATTTTCTTAATTAAATAACTATTGCACACTCCTGGTAGTTCAGACTTGTAAGGTAGTCTGCCTAGTGTTCACTATTAATTGCGTGTGTTATTTTAAACGGGTTAATTATTCAATATCTGATATTTGTATTTGTAATATAAAATAGTTTTTCTAGAGGTTTTTTTGAACAGTCTCTACACGTAGTTTACAGAAGAACAAAGCTAAAGGTCATCCATGTCCCAGTTACCACTTTGGTTTTGTTTTATTTTTTATTAAATTCTTCTCTTAAGAAATGTATTTGAGAAGTGTACCATTCATTGAAAATTCAAATGTTGATTTTCACTCACTTAAGTATACAAGCAAACCAATAAATCATGAAAATTTGCATTAGTGTGTTTCACTCAGTTAAAAAACCTAGGTTCTGCGGGATCGGTTCAGAGACACCGTAAATCTGACATCTCGTGACTGCCAATCTGTGTATTTCATTCTCTTGCAGTGAGATATGAAACCCAGGTTTTGTCTCATAGAATCCTGGTTAGTGAGCAGAACAGTGTGTACTTTGACTTGCTGTTCTGACTGTGTACATTTGACAATGACCTCTGAGAAAGCAGAGAAGGGAAAGGAACAATATATTTGAGTTTGATCTAAAGAAAGGAAAAATAATACTTTTGTTTTAATTTTTAAGCAACCCACCGAGTACTTTGATATGGGAATTTTCCTGGCCTTCTTTGTGGTTGTGTCTCTTGTCTGCCTCATTCTTCTTGTCAAGATCAAACTGAAACAGCGACGTAGTCAGGTAAGAGCAGTAACGGGATATTCACTGAATGCTAAAAGTTAGCCTCCCTTACTTCGTTCTAGAAATTGCTTGCTGCTTTTGGAGGTGGGAACTCTGACTTAGAATAGCCGTCTTTGTGGAAAGGGTTAATCCTTGGATATATCCCTTTGCAAAAATTTGGAAGTGTCATTGAAGGAGATCTACATTGACCTGTGATGTTCATTCACTTAAATCCTGAAATGAAGAGAGTATGGAAGCAGTCCATTTAGCCATTTGGAAGGAAGAACTTTTCTGTTTTTTCAGAGATTGACTATCAGTAGCACTGGTTTGCTTCTAAAGAAGTCCAAGCTCTTGTTGCTCTGTTATGGAGAAAATGTCAGGATTGAAAATAAATTGCAACTCTTTTCAATAGAGTAGCATCTTTTGATTCTTAGTGGGAGAGATTTGCAAGGTAAAAAGTTTAGTTAGGAGAAATTCTAGTTGAGATAGTTTGAGTTTGTCCTTTCAAACTGAAAGGGAAAGCAAATGGAAGCTAATGGACTCTGAAGTTTGTAGTTGTGAACTGTCCAGTATATACACATAGTAGAAACGCAAAGCACTGTAGATGCTTAGGATTCTAGCTTTGGGCATACTGAGTACGAATCCAAAAATGTTATGGGCTGGGTTAAAAAACAGTGTTAAAAGTGGGGATGATGAATTCTACAGTAAAATGAAAACAAGCCACTGCCTTCCTAAACTTGTACTATAGATTAAATTCGGGGGGAGGGGAAAATGATACAGATAATTTAGTAACATTTCATTTTAATCCCTCTCTCAAGTATTGCTTCTGGTAATAAGGTTGCAACAGCATAATGGGGCATTACAGTCAATATTGACAGTTCAAAAAAAGTCCCTGACCAAGTCTTGTATGTTGCCTTGAAGAGTTGCTGCCTATTAATTGAGCAGTTGCAGTGTATCCAGATTGTCAGCACCTTCACCCTGTTTAAATTCAAAGTAGCTTATCATTGTCACTACTGCATGTGATAGGGCGAGGGCTATGGAAATGATCTCCTGGGAGAGACTGCCCTTTTGCGGGGGGGGTGATGAGTGTGTCTGTATAAATACAAGAAAACTGCTACGGCGGGTGTGCACGTTCGTGGTGGAGCGATCCCCTGTGCACCCAGCGCTGCAATAAACATACCTACTTTACAACTTTCCAAGTTGTGGAGTCTGTTTCCGCACATCACATGTGGCATGCATTCTTTTCATGAGGCTTCTCATCTAAATTCTAATTAGCTGCCTCTCTGCTTAATTTATGAAATTGTACATTAGACTGGACCTGACGTGATTTCGTAAGATACATATAGGTTGATGTGATGTTTCTCTGCTACTATGCTGTAGTCCTTTATGCAGCAACATTACCTTTTTTTTCTTTTTTCTTTTTTTTTTTTTTCCTTTTCTTTCTTCTACCAGAATTCCATGAACAGGCTTGCGGTGCAAGCACTGGAAAAAATGGAGACCAGGAAGTTTAAGTCTAAAAGTAAGGGACACCGGGAAGGCAGCTGTGGAGCACTGGACACACTCAGTAGCAGCTCCACCTCTGATTGTGCCATCTGCTTGGAGAAGTACATTGATGGGGAGGTAAAGGATAAATGGCGTCCTCAGCATGGATTGAGAATGTAGCTGGTTTAGTTGGTACTGTGGTAGACGGCTGGCTGTTGGGTACATTGTGTACTGAGGTTGTGCAGCTTGCCAGACTGGTTGCATTGTGTAAGCAACTCAGCCTCGACTGCATTCTGCATCTCCCCAAGAAATCTCGAGGACTTTTCCCCATACTGCAAAGTGAGAGGCAAGGAATCTCATTCTGCAAGTTGCTACCTCCATTAAGTTGCTTTTCTGAGGAAGAACTCATAAAGGAGTCAAGGTTACCTCAGCATTTAGTTCTCTGGGTGGTTTTTACAAATTGCATGCTCCAGCAGTGATGCATGCAAGCTCTGTTGGACATAAGGGATATATTTCCTGTTTTGCTTCTCAAGCTTTGATGGCACCATGTCTTTAAAATGTCAGGTACACAGCACTGCTGGAAAGCCAGAGGAGGAGAAAGAGGAGATGCCAAAAGGTTAAGGAATCAGTTTTTGACTCCTCAGTTACCATCACTGCATTGATGTCAGTGCTCAATTTCTGTGACAGAGTTCTATGCAGAGGAAGCAATGAAAAGATGAAATAAAAAATAGGCTCCTTAGAATAGAGGCAGTCAATAATCACAGCTTTAAACTTCCATATAAAAAAAATATTTGAGGACATTTTATTTTGAAATTATTCATAAAAGATTAATGATTTTTAAGGCAATAGAAAATACCAGCTGCAGTATTTGAGTGCTAGAAGCTACAAACAGAAAGTTAGTGAAGTTAGGTGATGGGAAATTATTCAGAGTAGCAAGGATGCAGGCAGACAAGAACTTCAGAAGGGCTGTACAAAACTGATTGGACAGGAAATTCATGCATGAACTTCAGCACAAAGTGATATGCATAGGGAAAAGCTTCGCATGTGTTAGTGATGAGTTGTGAGGTGAGCATTGCTGTTCAGGAGCAAGATCTTGAAGCTGTTTTAGATAGCTTTGTGAAAACAGATCAGTGCTTTGTGGCAGTCAAAAAGGCAAATCAGATACTAGAAATGAGAAGGGGAAGTCTAGAGAACTGAACAGAACCACTGTGTAAGTTCTGTCATGCTCTCTTATTGAATACTGTGCACACTTCTGACCTCATTTCACAAAAGAGATGTTGGAAATGAAGGTGCTTCAGAAAAGGACAGTCAAAAAGGGATCAAAGATTTGAAATGGTTTCTGTACAAAAAATGACTGAGTGGGCTAGGACTGTTTAGTCCTAGGTTACCTGGGCACAGAGGAAGTACAAAATCATGAATGGAGATCATGAACAGGAATCGGACGTCCATTTTTTTCCAATACAAGGTTGGGTGCAATTAAACAAAACTGCTAGAACCCAGTCTGAATCAAAATGTGATGTTTCTCTACCAGCAGGTAGTAGCCCTGTGGAGCTTCTTGCCAAAGCATGATACGAATTCAAAATCTGAGCTCATGTGGAGACTTGAGCAGTACTTGGAAGAAAGATTTATTGCGTATTTCTAAACTGGTAGATATCCAGCAGGCTCAGGAAATCCTGTAAACAGATAATAGCTGAAGGATGAGATACTGGGCAAGGGAAAAAATACCATACACGCTGTGTTGTTTTTGCTTTTCCCAGAGTGTTTTCTGTTGCTAGTAGTTTTAGGCAAGATGCATCACTAAATGGACTCTATTGGTTAAAGTTCATTTAATATATTAAGGAAAACATTAATGATAGGCTCCTTCAGGGTGTTAGGTCATAGGGACACACAGCAAAAAGTGTCCTGAAGAAATGTAGTATATCTGCATGCGGTTCTAACGTTCCTGCAGACTATTCTTTTAGTGACAGCTGATCCCTAGCTCTTGTGCTTTTGACTGTGTTGGAACTGATAGCATGTTTTTCCCTCTTATCAAGACTAGGAATTGATCTGTTTAGTAGCTAGGTTGAAAAACTAGGAATAAGCTATGAAAAATGCACTCATTAGGAAGGAGTACTTTTTAATGTTCCTTCATCTGGTCCTGTAGGAACTGCGTGTCATTCCCTGCACTCACCGATTTCACAAGAAATGTGTGGATCCTTGGCTACTGCAGCATCATACCTGCCCTCACTGCCGCCACAACATCATAGGTAAGCGTTGCAGTATGGATGCTCTGCTGTGTCATCTGTTTCAGACTTAACAACTTACAAGGTGAAACACAAATTGTACCTGTTTGTAAATGTCCATGGAGCGCATAGTCTTTACTGTAGCACAACCCTAGAAATACAGCTAGGACTAACTTCTTTGAAAATGACTGCGTGCCCTGGAATAACAGGTCACATTTCTCGCTTACCCACGTTCTGGGTGCAGTACCCTGGAGAGGGTAGCGTTGGTCAGCCTCTGAATGCAAGGAGGACACGTAGGTATAGTAGATGGGTATGCTTTCTCTTGGTAATTAGAAAAGACAATGTACTGGTTTTTATTTTTCCATTGTGGCGTAAGTTGGAATGTGGTTTCCCTCACTTGCCCCCTTCCATTTCCTCTGTCTTGAAAAAGTTTTCTATTAATAGACATTTATGTAAAATAATGTATAAAGTGAAAACTAGAGCAATGACTGCCAACCTTGCTGTTAACCTGCAAAACCAGGAGTACTGTGTAAGCAGAAGGTTTTGCATGTATGAGAACATTATCTGAAATAATTTCACTTCTTTTTCTTTTTAAGCAAATACAATTGAGCGTTTCAGGCAGATGCTCTTGACTTACTTTGTTTTGTTATTTTACCTTCTGTGTAAAAAGTTGGTGTTTTTTTTTAAACTCCATTGTGTGCGTAATGTAACTCAATTCAGAACAAAATATCCTTCTTTCTTGCATAAAGTATATTCCTATTTATTCCCTGCTACTTCTCTACTCTTGTTTCTCTCATTCAGAACAGAAGAAGGGAAATGCAGGTCCAGTCTGTCTGGAATCCATCACCCCAGCACGCAGCCGGCAGCAGAGGGTGATTCTTCCAGTCCATTACCCAGGCCGAGTGCACAGAGCAAACCAGATAACAGCATACCCCACTCGGACAAGCATGGACCCTCACGGAAACCCTATCACAGTACTTACAGTTGAGCGACATGGTGAACAGAGCCTCTACCAAGGCCAGTCCCCAGCCTATATCCGAAATTATCAGCCTATTCATTTGGACCATGCTTTAAACACACATCACTGTAGCTTGGAACATAGGGCTTACTCTCCTGCTCATAGCTTCCGAAGACCCAAGTTTGGTGGACGCAACTTTTCCAAAGCAGCGTGCTTCTCCCAATATGAGACCATGTATCAGCACTACTACTTCCAAGGCCTTAGTTACCCTGAGCAAGATGGACAGCCTCCAGCTGGCATTGCCTCAAAGGGTCCTTCCCGTGCCTTTCAGCCTGGTAGCAGCATACTTTTCCCTCCTGTGGTACATGTAGTGCCCTCATCCCGCTTGGAGAGTGGCAGTACCTCCAGCTTTAGCTGCTATCATGGTCATCGTTCAGTGTGCAGTGGATATTTGGCTGACTGCCCTGGGAGTGACAGCAGCAGCAGCAGTTCTGGTCAGTGCCACTGCTCCTCTAGTGATTCCATGGTTGACTGCACAGAGGTCAGCAACCAAGGGGTTTATGGGAGCTGCTCCACCTTCCGCAGCTCTTTGAGCAGTGACTATGACCCGTATGTTTACCGCAGTAAGAGCCCTTGCCGAGTGGGTGAGGTTGGTGGTGCAAACAGAGGTGCAATTGTTCTCTTGGAGGGCCCCCACCAGGACGAGCTTCCATCTTATGGTCACAGTCTGGTGGGTGCTGACTGCCGGCCTGTGCCAGCTTCTTCCTCAGGGGACCAACTGTCTAATTGCAGCATGGATATGAACTATAGCAGTAATTCCTCACTGGAGCACAGGGATCCAAATGGCACTACCTCAGAGGGAGGACATGAGGCCACTCCTGGTGCTGCCTTGGATGTCAAAAGGAACTGGAAGAATCCAGAGATAGCAGGGCCGCTTATGGAGCAAGCATGTGCATGCTGCTTTGAACTCCAGCACTCTGCCCTGGAGCCTACCAGTGGGACAGCTGACTGTAGTGCACTCTTCCTTAGCTCTCCGCTGTGGGGGACGCGTGGCCCAGGAATAGAACCACAGTCAGGGAACACCCCGGGCTTATACAGTATTAACTCAGACCACTTGCATAGGACAGATGGGATAAAATATGAGGGGTTGCCCTGTTGCTTCTATGAAGAGAAGCAGGTAGCCTGTAGTAGCAACAGTGGCAGTGGAGGGGGGGGGGTGGTGGCTGCTATACAGAAGACTATGCAGTGAATGTGCAGTACACGCTTCCTGATGACACCTTGCCAAGCTGCTGTAAGGGTGTATGTGACCTGGGTCAACGCATTCCCATAATTCCCGAAGACAGAGACTGTGAGCTGATCCTACCTAAAGAGTGCCAAGGAATGCACATGGGAGGCTGTAGTTCCTGGGATGGAACACCTGAGCTAGATACTTATCTGCACTGCCAAGGTATAGGAGAGGTACAGGACAAGAGGGAATTGTGCTACGAGGCAACATCATTCCTGCGGCAGAACTACTCTCGGGAGGAGGAAGCCAGAATGCTCTTTCCCAGTCCCACTCTGAACTCCCAGAAGCTGATGACGACCACAAAGGCCACAGGTAATACGTGTGCTTTTTTGATGACTCACTACCTTTCTGTCCTAGCATATGAAATGCTGCAAGCTCCCTAGGTACCTGCAGCCACAAAGGTTACTGCCATCCTTTGCGTAAGAGCAGGTTATTGACTAATCCTTCACCCAAACGTGTTAGTCTCTTGTTACCTACGCTCATTTGGTCACAGCTAGAGGAATAGAAGATGATGTTTACTATCTAACGCTGTAAGAGCTTTCATACTCATCCTTTGTGGGCAGGGGAAAAAGTGACCGCTAGTACCAGGCCCCCATTAGAGCTCCTGCAGCCAGAGGCACTGGGCCAGTCACGGCAGCAGTGGTGAGCTGCCTAAGTAGGCAATGCTAGAGTGCTGGGAGGGGACAGACAAGCTGAAGGATTAAAAAAATTAGGGAAAAACTTGGAACTGCTGTAGAAAAATATTTGGGAAAGTCTCTACAGTGGACATAAACAAGGGGGCAAAAGAACCACTCGCAGAATGGAGTTCCTTACCTGCCTTGCCAGGGCTGTTTTAAGGGTGTTTGTAGAATCATAGGATACCCTCGGTTGGAAGGGACCCTGGGCCGTCACCTAGTCCAACCTCCTGCTCAAAGCAGGGCCAGCTCTGAGATCAGACCAAGTTACTTGGTTTGTCAGATGAGAACAAGTTTATCCAGTCAGGCCATGACACCCTCCAGGGACGCAGAGTGTACTTCCTTCTCTGGGCCCTTGTTCCCGTGCTTGACTGCCAGCATGGTGAAAAGATTTTCCTTACATCCAGTCTGAACATCTCCTGTTTCAACTTAAGCTCCTTTCCGCTTGTCCAGAATGCATCGCTGTGAAGACCCTGGCTCTGTCGTTGTGATAACCTCCATGTAGGTGTTGGAAAGCTGCTTAGGGGTGCCCCCAAAGCCGTCTCTTCCACGGGCTGAACAAGCCCCAGTCCCTCAGCCTCTTCTCACGTGGCGAGTGCTCCAGCTGTCTGAACGTCTTGGCTCTCTGCTGAACTCGCTTCAGTCAGTCATTGTCTTGTTCTGGGGACCCCAAAACTGGATGCAATATTTTAGATGCCATGTTCCTTAGTTTTCTTTATCCTTCAGGTGCTGGATCTCATCCCTTGGAGAGAAGCCAAATTGGTGACTAGACCTGTCCAGATGATCCCGGATGGAGAAGCGGAGCTTATCAGAGACTCCAAATTCTCATGAACTTAATTTTTTTTAAGCTTTGACAAACACACAAAAGTGGTAATGTGGAGAAGTCCCTCCCCCACTTCCTCTTCCTCTGTGTCCACATCAGCTTGTTCTCTTTCTCCCTCTTGCCTGAAGTCTTCAGGTCTCCATTTGTGTGCAAAGCCCCTGTGGGACATGGTGTGGAGCATTTCTGAGCTCTAGTGCCCTTTCTATATTAATGACAAAGTGTTATTTATATTTTCTTTTTAGAAGTGACCGTGTCAGCTCTTGCTGAGAGGTAACACGGTGTGTTGAATCAGCCAGGCTATGTGTAGATGCTGTTATCTCCTACTTAAAGGAGTCCAGCCTTCAATAAGCTCAGGGCTACGCCTGCCTTAGAAGCCAGATAGCACCTTGAAATGTAGTAGTCCAGAGGGATGCAGCTGCTGAACGGATGCTGAGATACCGACTAATCCTAGTAGCAAATCGTAGTAGCCAGGAAGCTATATGATTGATTTTGAGGGAGGTGAAGCATTGTAGTGTCTCCTTTCTCCTCTCCCCTCCTCTTCCTTTTGTGCTGCTCTGATGATTTGGCTAGGAAGGGTCTCCTGCCATTATAATTAGTTTTAACAGAGTGGGGGGAGGGAAACTGGTAGCTCACAATGTTCTCCTCCTCACTTTCTGCCAAACCTTGAACCTCATTGGATCTTCTGACTGGTGAAGAATGCTGGGGACCCCTCCCTCAAACAGATTATAGAAGAAAGTGCTTAGAAAGGGTAATACCTTTGTAGGTAGTGAACCTTGCCTTCCATAGGAAGATTTTCAGGCACCTGTAGCCCCTATTACAGCTGTGAGGACTGCTGGCATATGCAGGAAAACAGAGTTTGCAGGGTGCTTGCAGCTTGGCTGGCTCATTTTGGAAGCAGGTCAGAGGGTGTCTTGTTTCCTTGTAGACTGCAAGCATGCGTAAGGGAAGCAGTGCTTGTCACCTTTTGTGCATGCGGGAAAGTGAGGGACTTGGTTTAATCATTGTTGTCTTCTTTGCTGCGATTGATGTAAGCTTCCATAGATCGATCTGTTTTAAATGTTTCTTGGACCCAGCCAGTTGTGCTTCATTTTTGTCTTGTGTGCAGAGTGTGCTCTCTGTACCCCATTAGCCTGGGCACATACTTTTGTTCTTGTTCTTGTACAAGTGGGGATGTTTGTTATCATGAGATAATATTCGTCGTCACTTCTGATAGCAATTGTTTCCTGTGGAAACAGCAGCTTCTGAGTAAGAGGCTACCATAGCATGGTTTAAATTGCCTGTCATGCTGCATGTGCCTGAGGACACAGTGTCATCCTGTCTGGTGTATTCACAGCA